ATATTGGATAAAAGCGTCTGCTAAATTAATAAATGCAAATGTAAAGTTCAATGGACAATCTTTTTTAGTTACACAAATGAGCGGACTGATATCCACCTAATTTTTCAATGCAGAAGTAAGCTATTTCCCGTAAATGTGCAAGATGTCCGATTCATTAACTGCTATAGATTAATAACTAGAAGAATAACAAAGTGCTGTAAAAAAGTCCTCATGATTATGATAATAAATATTCAAGCAGCAAGCAGCATATTGGACTGTTTGAGATCAAATTGGAATCCTTGCACATTCAAGGTAAAAATAATCGTGTCTGCAATTATATTTTAAAAATAAGCTGGATGCAGAGTTGCCATTGATGGCAGTCAATATTAGGAAATATCAGACCACTGAATATCAATATTCCAGAGAACCATGTGATGATAATTTACACAATAATAATCTAGCCACTCTAACCCTTCTCCAGAGGCATGTCATCAGGACCATCCCAAGGAATCTTATTTTGTGCAACCAGTCTTCCAATGGGTATATTCCAGCCTCCAGGACTTTGATAAACGCAGTGGCATGAAGACTTTCCTTGGAGATCATTGATGTTGAAGTTTGCGTCACTCTTGACCACAGCCACAGCATAACAGCATTCTTGAGAAGAGGAGGAGAAGAACTGACTGACCAATTGAAAGATATTTAGAGACAATTTCATAATGTGCCAAATGATGATGCATCTTCCAACATATTGTTAACAGAAATAAAAAGGAAACATTTGCTAATTTAGGTGATATAGTACAAATTTAAAATCATAAGAGGCCATCTTGTCATACTACTGGGGTAAGAGGTATAATGTGGTTATTTAATTTTATATATAAAAAAAAAAAAAGTGCACACAGAAATTAAGTTTAGCGGTCCATTGACACAGAACAATAACTATAATGATAACAATATTAGCGCCCACACCAATGAACGATAATGTCTTTAAATGCTCAAGCTCTTTAAAATAGGATGGATTCTGACATGCTGTCAATGTTTTTCATCAGCTGGAAAAAATAGTTTCCAACTATATCTTTCCTCTGTGCCGTTGTCATTATGGTTGTGGTGTGGACTCTGCTATTCATTTAAATAATTTTTAAAACTATCATTATTGTTCTAGGTGTGAACAGGGATAGATCACCCAAAAATGAAAATCCTGTCATAATTTACTTTGTTCTGTTGAGCACAAAAGATTATATTTTCAAGAATGTTGGTCACCAAACAATTGCTGTCCCCACTGACTTCCATAGCATGGAAAATACATACTATGGAAGTCAATGGCTACCATCAACTGTTTGGTTACCAACATTCCTCAAAATATTATCATCTTGTGTTCAAAAGAAACTCATACATGTTTGAAAACGTGAACTGTGAGTAAACAGTGATGGAATTTTCATTTTTGGATTAACTGTCCATTTAAGAAAAGGATTAGCAGATCAATTTTCATAGACAAGTTAAAACGTGGAAGTGCCTAGTACTTACCTCCACCTGTCTCACAGTTTTCTGCATGGAAAGATTGAATAGAATTTTAGGTTTCATCAAATATGTACATTTTGATAAACAGGTGGCTTAGGAACTGATTTATGAAATATGAGACAGTGCTCATTCTTACGTTGATCATTCTGCTCAACCATAACTGGAACTAGGCCGCACTTTCCAGCAATATATACCTGGCCACCATCAACTGCAAGGGCATCTGCTTCTTTGCGCTTTTAAAGGAGAAAATCAAACAGAAAATTAACCTACAGGTGGATGATTGACAACCTTAGCATCCAGCCATGTGACCCAACAATACCATGATTTTCTTGATGCACTCTTCCACAGATGATGCCCTTCGGCACTCCAAACTAGGAATCTGTAAATTGTCACACTTCTGTTGCTCTGCATGGCCAACGGTACACCATTCAATTTTACGGTCTTGAGACGGGGCTGGCGTGTTCCCAGCTGAGAAGAAATTATACATACAATCATGTTTTCAATCAAGTAAATGTCAAAAACGACATACTCAAGGCCCTGAATGTTATTCGACACCTCAGTTGCACTTAAAAAGTGGCATGTGCAAACACATGATGCTAGAGCATTTCTCAGAACTCACTTTTTAGTGGATGTATGCAGTCAGTACCCATAACGTTCACACAAATGCAAAATAAAATATAGATATTTCCAGCATTTAATGAACGCTAAATAATTCAAATGTTATTTATGGCATGTTTATTTGTATCAGAATTGTCCTAATACATTTTAGGGACACTGTATACATTCACATGTGTGTTTTTAGCATAACTGTATGTCACCTCTAAGGGCACGAATGGCCTCATAATAATCTTCTTTCAGGTAGAGGAAGGAGTCTGTGCTCTTAGAAAGCTCAACCAGGCCAGATGCAGAGTCTGAGAACATCAGGTCTTTACCCCCAAAAGCATCAGAAGAGAAAAGATCCGGATCCTGTTGAGCACAACAGTTGAAAAAAGGCTTTCAATATTACTCACTTCTCTGAAACAATGACAGGGTCTTTTTTTCAGTAATAATGAAGCAAAGTGGCATGGCATACCTGAGAAAGGGCTTTAATAATCGGCTGTGAATCAGCATCCATGCGGCCGATGACAGCACGGGCAGGCTCTTTGGCGAGGTAGCAGTCCTTGTAGTTCTCAACGTTTTTTCTGCTGCCATCCATGCACAAAAGCTGGTAGTTCTGCCTCTCACTCACTTAATTCAGATTGGACAAGCTTGTAAATCAGCAGCCATGACCTCCAGCAACAACTCATGTCAGTCAGGAATATTTTAGATTCTGGCAAAAGATATAACTCACGTGGGATTGCATCCTGACAAACAAAGGCAACTTGTCCATGACCATTTTTCAAGCACCTGGAGAGAATGCATGAGTTATATTGTTGTTCATATGTAGAGAAGACAATGGAATCTGACAGTGTTAGTGTGAGTCTTACTGGAAGGCTCCATCACCGTAGGATTTTTCATTTTGTGAGCGGCTGCAGTCACCCTGGCAAGCTTGACACAGATTTGGGTACAGGGCGGTAAAATTTGGTTATTTAATTTTTTATATAAAAAAAAAAAAAAAGTCATTAAAGGGGAGGTGTAATGCGATTTCATGCATTGACTTAAAGAGTTGGATTCTCATGCTAAGCATGGACAAAGTTTCAAAAAACAAGTTGGGCGTATGAAGGAGTATTTCTGTGCCAAATAGACTCCTTCAGGGTTCATACAAGTTTCAGAAAGTTTTTTTTATTTCCAGAGTATGGCCCTGTGTTATATCATAAGCTCGACTCCAGCAGCTCGACTGTTTTCAGAGAGAAGCTGTACAGCTCTATCTGTCTTTTACAAATCTGATCAAACTAAAGACTATTCGGCGATATGAAGGTCTATTACAAATCCCCATTTAGATTGAATAATACCAATCATTTAGTCTATAGGTACACACACACACATTTTTTTCTTGTGATAAAATATTACCTTTTTTATGTTTCTCTGCAATAATTGGACGGAGTCCGTAATTTAGGAGTCCAGCTTGGTAAACATGTTCTCCATCTACAGTTATAGCATCGGCATCACCAGTCTGTGAATCATAGACAATTTAATTAAAATGTTCAAGACCGAGATCCCGCAGCTCTTCGGCGTGCGCAGAGTTTAACTCTAAAAGTGTGGTTCTGCCGACATCGAGCAGAAACTCACGACTATATGCGCGCTTAGAATCAAATAGACGCGACTCACAAGACAAAAAAAAAAAACACAAACACCTTTCTGTCGGGAGAGAGAGAAGCCGCAGCGTGTGAACGCGCCGCCATCTTGGATCATCCAAAATGTTACAGCTTTGATTAAACAAAACACCCAAGGGTGAGTGAGAAAAAAAAAGAATAAGCATGTTTTATTACCTTGATGCTTGTCATGCACTCAATTACAGAAGATTTGAGATGACACCTAAGCTCTGGTAATTTGGTGGCAAGGTGTTGGCATTTATTCAGTTCATTCTGTGACTTCACACACCATTTGACTTGAGCACTGGCTGAGGGCAGTGCCACAACTGCAAAGAAAATGACACAGTAATAGTTAATTATCCAGCTGAGCACAATGATTAAGAAGTATTAAGAAGAACTGAAGAAGAAAATGTCAAAAAATGTCAAACATGGCAATTACCAAGGCACCCCAGCAACGAGATGAGCAGGATGTTCATATTAGGCCTTCACCAGGGATTTTTGGCAGGGAGAGACAGGAGAGACCAGGCTTTTTATAGGAGCTCTGGAAGCACTAGTGGGTTGGGCCAGACAAACACAAGACTAGAACATCATCATCATCGTTTGCTCATGATTTCTCAATATCTGCTTGTGCAGGCTATGTGCCAGTTCACATTTTGCAGAAGTAGCCATTTTCTATCATGGAAATTCCCTGGTGAAGTTAATGTTAAATTCAAACATTTATTAACAAAAAAACATTAGCTTTCTTTTTTGTACAAATGAATAGTATAATTATACTGTACATGCACCTAGAAAATTGGGTAACACTTTTCTTTTCCTTTTATTTTAACACACTTTTATTTTGTGTTGCTTATTAGCAGGCATATTACTATAGCATATTGGCTGTTTACAAGTACTTTTAAAGCACATATTCTAGATCCCTTAACCCGACCCCATAACTACTACAACACCTACCTTACTTACTATCAATAAGCAGCAAATTGGGAGTTTATTTAGAGGTAATAGTGAATATGTGTTCTCTAATCTAAAGTGTTACCGAAAATTACATTAAAAACTTACTCTAACCTGACATTTATGAAAAATACCACAATTGAACTTTTTAGTTAAAATCTACATTCATTATACAGTCGACACTTAAATGTTAGTGAATATATATATATATATATATATATATACAGTGGGTACGGAAAGTATTCAGACCCCTTAAATTTTTCACTCTTTGTTATATTAATCCTTGCACATTCAAGGTAAAAATAATCGTGTCTGCAATTATATTTTAAAAATAAGCTGGATGCAGAGTTGCCATTGATGGCAGTCAATATTAGGAAATATCAGACCACTGAATATCAATATTCCAGAGAACCATGTGATGATAATTTACACAATAATAATCTAGCCACTCTAACCCTTCTCCAGAGGCATGTCATCAGGACCATCCCAAGGAATCTTATTTTGTGCAACCAGTCTTCCAATGGGTATATTCCAGCCTCCAGGACTTTGATAAACGCAGTGGCATGAAGACTTTCCTTGGAGATCATTGATGTTGAAGTTTGCGTCACTCTTGACCACAGCCACAGCATAACAGCATTCTTGAGAAGAGGAGGAGAAGAACTGACTGACCAATTGAAAGATATTTAGAGACAATTTCATAATGTGCCAAATGATGATGCATCTTCCAACATATTGTTAACAGAAATAAAAAGGAAACATTTGCTAATTTAGGTGATATAGTACAAATTTAAAATCATAAGAGGCCATCTTGTCATACTACTGGGGTAAGAGGTATAATGTGGTTATTTAATTTTATATATAAAAAAAAAAAAAAAGTCATTAAAGGGGAGGTGTAATGCGATTTCATGCATTGACTTAAAGAGTTGGATTCTCATGCTAAGCATGGACAAAGTTTCAAAAAACAAGTTGGGCGTATGAAGGAGTATTTCTGTGCCAAATAGACTCCTTCAGGGTTCATACAAGTTTCAGAAAGTTTTTTTTATTTCCAGAGTATGGCCCTGTGTTATATCATAAGCTCGACTCCAGCAGCTCGACTGTTTTCAGAGAGAAGCTGTACAGCTCTATCTGTCTTTTACAAATCTGATCAAACTAAAGACTATTCGGCGATATGAAGGTCTATTACAAATCCCCATTTAGATTGAATAATACCAATCATTTAGTCTATAGGTACACACACACACATTTTTTTCTTGTGATAAAATATTACCTTTTTTATGTTTCTCTGCAATAATTGGACGGAGTCCGTAATTTAGGAGTCCAGCTTGGTAAACATGTTCTCCATCTACAGTTATAGCATCGGCATCACCAGTCTGTGAATCATAGACAATTTAATTAAAATGTTCAAGACCGAGATCCCGCAGCTCTTCGGCGTGCGCAGAGTTTAACTCTAAAAGTGTGGTTCTGCCGACATCGAGCAGAAACTCACGACTATATGCGCGCTTAGAATCAAATAGACGCGACTCACAAGACAAAAAAAAAAAACACAAACACCTTTCTGTCGGGAGAGAGAGAAGCCGCAGCGTGTGAACGCGCCGCCATCTTGGATCATCCAAAATGTTACAGCTTTGATTAAACAAAACACCCAAGGGTGAGTGAGAAAAAAAAAGAATAAGCATGTTTTATTACCTTGATGCTTGTCATGCACTCAATTACAGAAGATTTGAGATGACACCTAAGCTCTGGTAATTTGGTGGCAAGGTGTTGGCATTTATTCAGTTCATTCTGTGACTTCACACACCATTTGACTTGAGCACTGGCTGAGGGCAGTGCCACAACTGCAAAGAAAATGACACAGTAATAGTTAATTATCCAGCTGAGCACAATGATTAAGAAGTATTAAGAAGAACTGAAGAAGAAAATGTCAAAAAATGTCAAACATGGCAATTACCAAGGCACCCCAGCAACGAGATGAGCAGGATGTTCATATTAGGCCTTCACCAGGGATTTTTGGCAAGGAGAGACCAGGCTTTTTATAGGAGCTCTGGAAGCACTAGTGGGTTGGGCCAGACAAACACAAGACTAGAACATCATCATCATCGTTTGCTCATGATTTCTCAATATCTGCTTGTGCAGGCTATGTGCCAGTTCACATTTTGCAGAAGTAGCCATTTTCTATCATGGAAATTCCCTGGTGAAGTTAATGTTAAATTCAAACATTTATTAACAAAAAAACATTAGCTTTCTTTTTTGTACAAATTAATAGTATAATTATACTGTACATGCACCTAGAAAATTGGGTAACACTTTTCTTTTCCTTTTATTTTAACACACTTTTATTTTGTGTTGCTTATTAGCAGGCATATTACTATAGCATATTGGCTGTTTACAAGTACTTTTAAAGCACATATTCTAGATCCCTTAACCCGACCCCATAACTACTACAACACCTACCTTACTTACTATCAATAAGCAGCAAATTGGGAGTTTATTTAGAGGTAATAGTGAATATGTGTTCTCTAATCTAAAGTGTTACCGAAAATTACATTAAAAACTTACTCTAACCTGACATTTATGAAAAATACCACAATTGAACTTTTTAGTTAAAATCTACATTCATTATACAGTCGACACTTAAATGTTAGTGAATATATATATATATATATATATATATACAGTGGGTACGGAAAGTATTCAGACCCCTTTATATATATATATATATACGATGATACTGGAATTGTAGTTTATGCAACTGGAATCTAACTCAAAATCTTATAGTTAAGATAAAGTCTGTGTGGCAATTGGTTCTGATTTCTGCTGCAGTGTGTATCAGCATCAAAGTGTGTGTCGAGTTACTGCAAGCCAAACACAGTCTGCATTCAAATTCTTTACATGCTCCTTAACATGATTGACTCATTTTGTGGTGGATGGCTGCATTTGGAAAGACATTTGCTCAGAGTAAACAGTGTTGTCTCTGTTCCAAGACCATTGTGTTTGTGTGCTTGGCAATCAATGGACCGGTCCATATTTGTACATTGTAAATATTACTCAATGCAAGAGCGTAAAGTACAAACTGATGGAGGTTCAGCAAAGTAACCAAAACGCCTTTTTTGGGGTATGTCGGAAGTGTGATGACGTCCAGATTAAACATTGCAGGTACCAGTATCTGCTACTAAATCACAAAAATCACACCAGTGTTTGACTGGTGTTGCACAATTCTGGAATGTCCAAAGATGGGTGGCGGGGGTGGGGGGCTGCACTAGAACAGTTATCAAGACAATAACCAGACCAGTTATTGTAAAATACAGTAAAAGCATTTTGACTGCTTAAATGGCATGGCACTTTCGGTATTGACATCATCTCATTTAGTACTAATTTGTATTGGGTCTTCTAGAAAACCATTTGATAAGACTATATTTTATGAATATTTTATAGATATAGATCCATACCTGCACCCTGATACTAATTTGTATTGGGTCAATGACCAATAAAATTGTCCATAATAAAGAAGTGGATTTGTTTTGTTTTTTAATCTAGTTTAAAATACGTAACAAGTTATTTCAAATATTACTCTTCATTGGCTTCATATGGTTTTTGTTTTGTTTACAGTTTTATTTTAATTACAATAAAATGTATTGACCATAAAATGTCATGTGGAAACGTTTTTTTTTGTTTTTATATAGTTTTAAATAATTTATAACAGATTTGTGAACTTTATATATAAAAAAAAAATGAAATAATGACAAAGCATAAGTATTCCTACCCCTTGTATTATAACATTTCTTGTTCTATGTTGTTTTCTGCATGTTGATTGCACCACTTGACTTTGGGTGATATTTTGGTTTTATATTAATAAGCAGTGAAGGTGTTTTAATATATTATCATCATTTAAATTAATTCAAATGACATTATTATTATTAATTGTTCTTATTTCAAATATTATTCTCAAGAATCTAGTTCTTTTAATGGCTTTTTTCTTCATTACTATACCGGAACCATTGTAATCAAACTATAACCCACTTAAAGTGTCAATCCATTTTGAACCAACTTTGACTTTACAAGGTCCAGCCGTCTATCTCATGAACTCTGACCTCAGACACTCTGCTATCTAGATGAGATAACAGACAGGCTTCAAGCAGACGCTTCATGATACATTGTCCAGTGATACAGGAGCACTGCATGAAGAGATCATACGTCATGCTCACAATGATATGCCCACAAATGGCAGGTCATGAAAAAATGACAACATGTTTGATTGAAAACTGACTATAAGCATCTGCATATCCTTCTCTTCTCCGAGCATGTAAAATTTAGGAAATTGGGGTTGTAGAAGTTGAACAGAAATATTTATGGAATCCTCTGACATTGATGTTGAACTTTGTGCAGGAAAACATGCTAATTCTTCAACAGTTAAAAGAGTGGAGTACTGAATTATTGGAACATTTTAGTTCATGCAGGTTGGTTTCTGAGAATGAACAGAGGTGGCTGAAGTCCAGCTCCCTTGTGTAACCACTTCAGTAGAGTATTGGAACACTTTATAGGATCTGAGCATGCAGTTATATTGCAGTGGCACAAAAAAACCACATACAGAGTGATCTGTGCTGACCGATTAATAAGTGTGAGAATGTCAAATCTCTCTGTTTTGATGATACATTCCTGAGTAGTAGTAGAGCTGACATGTGTCCTATGTCCAAATTCTGTGGTTGACTGACCTGACTATTTGACCAGCTGCAGCTACTTAACGTAGCCCTGGTTGCAAAAGTTTAAAGGTAATAAGCCTATGTAAGCATTAAAGAGTTTTAGCAAAACTGTAGATAGACATTTTACAAACTGTCCAATGCAGATGAATAAAAAAACATTCATAAATAGGTGGTTGTTTCATTTAAAATATCATCTGCATGACTAGATATTCTTATTCACCTGCTAATTAAACATTAATCTGTGGCTTAGCACTCAGATTTGTTGCATAATTTCCTGTAGATCTTATTCATATTTTATTTGCTGGGCATTGGAACATTTTATGTTTATTCAATGCAAGTAGTAAAAGAGAACTGGTATGTTTGATTATAAGGTTTGGTTAGGTCAAGGTTCATTTCTGGGTCATAACTGCAAACCCACTGATGTTATAAAGAAATTAAAAGGCCAAAACCTGTCATAGTTTCTGATTTTGTCTATGTGAAAAACAATAAATAAATAAATAATCCTTCAGTTAAAATGTTACAAACATAATTTAGAGAAAGATTTCACATTTTATTTCTTGATATTACAGTATATTTGGATTCTTGTGATAAATGGTGCTAACTTCTTGACATGATTTAAGAAAACAGTGTGAGTGGGGTTGGTTGGAGATGGTAAAAATGGTTATTATTAATAGCACAGACAATCATAATTATATGAATAAATTCACATATGTAATTATGATTACAATTAATTGTGTTTGCTTAAAATAAGAATTTTCCTATAGATTCTTCCATAAATGCTATCTTGATTCTTCTAACACTAAACATAAAACACAGTAAACCTAATGTGTTTCTCACACACACTGTGCGTGTGTGTGTGTGTGTGAAACATATATATAAAGAGATATATATGTATGAGAAACACAAATATATATATATATATATATAAAAACACACACACAGCTATGGAAAAAATTAAGAGATCACTATATATATATATATATATTATTAATAATAAAAAAGGGACAAATGCTGCAATAACATGCTAATAACGTGGTAACATTTTGAATTTCTTTCACATTCACTCATTAATAAGAAGTTGCTGATTAGATACAATCTGGTTTATTTGAAAAATATTAGGTTATGATATCCTTTACGCTTTCTTAGTGTAAAGATTTTGAGTGCATTATGTGTGCATAACATTGAATTAGCCTCTTTTTAAACTTCAATTTGCACCTAGTTGCACTGTAAAAAATAATTTCTTGAGTCAACTTAATAAACTTTGTTACCCCGCTGCCTTAAAATGATTTAACTTGACAATAAATTTCTTATCGAAATAACTTCCTCTCAAAGTAGAATCAACCTTTAAAAAACAAAGTCAAAATAATGGATTTTCTTAGCTGACTCAAGTATTATTTACTTGTCCAGTCAACTAATGTTGTGTTGTTTTAACAAGTGAAATCATGGCAATTTGAAAAATATTTGTTATTTTAACTTAGTGAGATGAGTCAATCAAACGTATGCATATTTGTTAGCCCGCTGCCTTACATTTTTTAGTTAAGATGACAAAAATTTTTGCCTTCTTTAACAGAATGATTTAATGATTGGGACAATTTTTTTCATTCACATTTTAATTTATTCTTACTTCTTACAAGCAACTTGCTGTCAGAGATTGAAACGGATACACTGACATTTTATAGGGTTGCAGAATGCAAATATAACCAAACGTCTGAAGTCTCAAACAGACACTCTAAAGTGTTTTGTAAAGCCTACCATTTTGGCAAGGGACTGCACAGTAAATATTTACATTTCTTTCTCAACAGCACATCATATGACAAACAGATGACGGATTCAAAATTTCCCAGCTCAATATGACAAGTCAGAGTTCAGAACATGCATCAAAGTGCATTACATTTTTAAAAAAAGAGATGTAATAACATGACAAAAAAGTGTGTTGAACTAAGTGCAAAAAGCCCAAAGCTACCCGTGAACACGCAGAGAACAGCTGCTCCCACCAATTTTCATGAAAAGTTTTTGGAGAACATCAAAAGTGTACTTCATGTGTTTTGGGTAATCAATGTTAACGATGTATTTCTTTCTCAACAGCACATCATATGACAAACAGATGACGGATTCAAAATTTCCCAGCTCAATATGACAAGTCAGAGTTCAGAACATGCATCAAAGTGCATTACATTTTTTAAAAAAGAGATGTAATAACATGACAAAAAAGTGTGTTGAACTAAGTGCAAAAAGCCCAAAGCTACCCGTGAACACGCAGAGAACAGCTGCTCCCACCAATGTTCATGAAAAGTTTTTGGAGAACATCAAAAGTGTACTTC